CTTGTGCTTCTGGGTTGCAGGTAGTGTGGGCTGCAGGTAGTGGGAATGTGAAACAGCACAACACAAGCTGGAGGGGCTGTCACAGCTCATATGGACTCTCCTCCATAAATCCTGCTCCAATCAGAGGGTATGGGTGGGATGGACATGGTCACCAGAGGTGAGCAACTGACTCTTTAGCCAGACCACCTGGATCAGACTGCTAGTTCAATCACTGAGTAGCTGAGATCTCGGTCAAATGACCAAACTTTCCTCCTGGGATCTATTGTCCTCCTGGGGAAAATAATAGGGCTTTACCCCGTGGAGTGGTATATTCAACAAATTCAACTATGGTTACCCAACAATATTCTCCTATTCTCAGTTGCATCCAGCTCTCCCTTTTCTCTTTCAAGGTGAATGCAGCTTCTCTGTGCTTCCATATTTCCCAGGGGAAGTGTGGAGCTCTGCACCAGCACACACTGATGAGGCATGCCTTCCCTCTCCCGTTATATACATTGGGATTTTACAGCTGCATGATCCCTCTGAGGCCTCCCCTTCACCTCCTTTTCATCTTCTTGCTTCTCTGCTTTCTTGCCCTGGTGTCCTCAGTGTGCAGATGGCTGCAGAGCTCAAGCCCTCAGTATGCCCTCCTGTTGCAGCTGGCTGAAACCCTGTGTGATTGGAGTCACATTGTACTGCCTTCAAAAATTCACTGCAATACTGTACGTTCTAACAAGTGCTGATGTAAAACATTTCCCTACCAGAATCTGTTGATAGTCTAATACTTGCAGTACTTAGATTAATGGTGACCCTTTTGGTGACCCTCTAAGTAGAGATAAGCCAGAGTAGTTCAGCTAATGTCAGCACTCAGGGATCTAAACTTTCCTAATTGACTATAACAACTCTAAGCAAAAAGCATCTCGTCTCCTGGAAAACAGGAATGTTTTTCTTTTTCCAGATGATGTATCAGGTAAAAATTAACCTACTGTTTTATTTTTCATTTTTACTTTGACTGCCAGGATGCTCTGAGCTAAATTATATGTTCCAGAATAACAATTATACTTCATTGATGTTTTCTGATATATCTACCTTTACCCTGGGATTTAAATTGTCTTAATAGATAGGTCTTTTATTCTAAGCTGACTCACATCCTCTTAGAAGGATAAGTGGGAATAGAAAATGATGCATGAATTATTAGAAGTATCATTGCCCCCACTGAAACATACAGTCACTATTGTTTGTTCAGCCATTCCTGAGTATAGCACCTGTCAAAGCTTGTTACACAAGATGTTGGTAGTTTCTGTCCTATTGTTTAATAGTTGATAAGGCAGTGATATTTTAGATGTTGCCATTTATTGAAAATCCAACTAAGGCGCAGGCTTGAGCATCAGAGGCTTGAACTCAGTCTTGAGACCCAAGTACATGGGCTCCAGGTGTTGGTCAGAGTTCTGTTTCTGGCTCTATTTCTCTTAGTTTCTCCTAGCTTGGCTCTCCTGTGTTGTGTTTCCCCCAAGAATGGCCTCCCTCACTAGTGGTGGGAGCTGCCAACTGCCTCTGGTGAAAGCCCTGCACTTGCTTTTGCATGGGCCACGCTCTGGGAGTTCACCCTGAGCCTGCAGTGAGGGGAGCAGGACTTTGCTTATTGGGTGGACCAGTCAATGCCCCCTCCCTGCAGCTGCAAGCTCAGCAAAGCCCCCAGGTTCTGCACAGTTGGGGTGGGGTGAGGAGGAGTGGAAGAGAAGACAAATGACAGAAGCTTATTTCTCACTGACTGGGGATGTCTTCAACCCGCTCTGTGCCAAGATACTATACAACTCAGAATATGCACATTTATGTGGGATGGATAATGCCAGGTGTGGTCTTTCTGGGTCTTATAAGTTCAGTTAAAACACCCTCACTGTTTTGTTGATCTCTAGAAAGAATTTGCCTGATTCCACTAGAATAGGGCAGATAGGAAGCTTCCTGCAATTATATTCCTTCTATACGGGTTTTCTCCACCAGATGTTTTACAGTTTTACAGGGCCCTTCAACCAATTGACAGCCATTTTGAGATAGAGTTTAACACAATAAGAGAAGAAAATTGGGGGGTTGGAGGGGACACATGTCCAAGAAGCTAACTATTGCTTGGTTCACTGTAGCCACAAATCACTTTACACCAAAGTTCTGGAAAGGAATTAGTGCATCTCTTCAAAATACACTTTTTCTTTCCAAGTTCCTGTATTTTCCTATATCTAGTTATAATTTGTGTCTGAAGTAAGCATTTAAGAGAAGCCTGTCAGAATTTATGGAAAAGAAGAAACCCCATGTGCGCACATGTACCCACCCCCTCAGACACACAGATGCCTGTCTCCCTTCCACCAGCATCTTTTTCCTGCTGGATGATTAGACCCTGGATTAGACCCTGCTCTCTGCCAAATGTCCCTTCTGGGAGGAGCACTGTGGTTTCAAGTTCCTTCACAGAGCTGCGGCTTGTTTGGGTGCAAGAGTGAAGTGATCCCTGGTGGAAGAATGGGCATATTGACTGGGTAGGCCCTGAACAGGCCCCCAGAGTATTCTCAGCCTGACTCAGAGGTCCTGAGACCGCCCCCCCCCCCTACTGTAGGGTGAGGCTGGCATGCCTGCCTCTTGCCAGGGCTCAGAACAAAGTAGGAACATTGGTGACTTTGTCCTCAGTGAGGGAAACCAGGCCATGGTGGCCTGAGGCGCAAACAGGAGAGGGGCTGTGTGCTGAGGTGTTATCATCTTTTCGGTAATTACTCCCAACTGTTTAACACCTCTTCCCACCTGCCTTCATTTCTACCTAAAAAAGCAGGGATGAGGAAATCAAAAAGGCATTTGTTGAATCCAGTATGTTTTTGGTGATGGCATAAGATAATCGGGTGAGCCAGGACTGTTTTTGCCCTGATAAATATTGCTGGGCCCCCATAATAGCAACTATGAATTCTTCTCCAAATGGAGCAGTTGGTGGCACCCCCAGATGCTTAGGTGAGTTTAGCCATCCGGTACCAAGGAGGATAATGGAAGAACTGTTTCTGGCTCTATTTCTCAGTTTCTCCTAGCTTGGCAGTCCTCTATGTGTTGCTTTCTTCTCCAGAATGGCTTTCCTGCACAGGGGTGGGGCTGCCAGCTGCCCACTCGTGAAAAAAGGCCCTGTGCTATCTTTGCTTGGACAGGTCAGGACTGGGGAACCAGACCAGCTAAAAGGCTCACCTTCTAAGGGATTGGTCCCCCAGTCAAAATACATAGTGCAGAGAATTGTGAGTAGCTCCGAACTGATCTGGCTGGGACATAGACTGACTCTAGGTTGAGGCTTTGGTTCTTGGGACCAACCCATCCCAAGAAGTCCAATTATGAAGGTTGTGAACACTCAGGTTTCCAGAAAGACTTACACTTGACTCCCACGTGGTTGGGAGTAACTAGTCTGGTTTCAGGCCTCAGTTGCCCATGAATAGAGTTAGGTTGCTATTGCAGGTTTTGCCTTATGTGGGCTGGTTTGGAAGAAGCTGAGGTTTGGTTCAGTGGCTCAGGACCTCAGGAGCCCCTGCTTATGGCTCTTGGTATGGCAAAAATTGTTTCATACAGTTGTATAGTCTTCCCTGGGCAAAGGCCCCTGACTCATGGCAGAGGAAATACTGAAGTCCAGCCAGGCCTTTTGTGCTGGTCAGTTCTGTGCAGAAGGCATCCTTCTTTGTAATTCATGCAAAGGAATGGAACGGACTAATGGTGTTTCTGGCAATAGATACTCACCATGAGCAGTGACTGTGTCCTCTCCCTGTTCCGTCCCAATTTAGGGTTGGGCTCACAGTTTGTAATAAAGGATTATACATCAATGGACCAAATCTATCACAATGTCTCCAATTTGGGACCCTCTTCCTTAAATTTTTTTTTTTGCTAATTTAAATAAGTAAAATGTTGGGCCTCTCTGGTAGCGCAAGGGGTTAAGTACTGCACTATGAAGCAATCCGCAGCGTCTGCAGCTTGATTTCAATCCCCAGCCAGACAGGGAGCAGCCTACATGGCATAGCAGACCTCTCCTGGCTCTCCCACTGCTCCGCTCAGCAGTGTGTTTCAGTCAGTCTACCTGTTCTGTTCCCCACTCTGTCTCTGGTGAATCCTTCACCTCCCTGCACTGCTGGCCTGTGCCCCAGTCTTGTATGCATAAATAAATAAATCTTTAAAAAAATAAAAATAAATAAGTAAAATGTTACCTTTTTGGTCCACTCTGGAGAACTATGGTACTATTTACTAAAGCAATGTCTTACAATATAATAATTCTAGTATTGTGTACATACCCCAGAGGATGATGGCTCTGTCCACCAAAATATATGTATAAAAGTATTCATAAAAGTATTATACATAATATCCTCAAACTGGAAAAATCCAAATTTCCATAAAAAAATAGATATATGGTGATATAGTCAAATCATGGTATTCTATCCAGCAGTAAGAATAAGCCCTATGGACCTGCTTGTAGCCATCTAGATTCATCTAAGAAACAAGAAAAAAATGAGATATAAAATACTACTTATGTTCCCATTAATGAAAAAAGTTCAAAAGTAGGTAAAATGAGTCTTTGATGCTAGTTTGCAGGGAAATAATGCCTGTAGGGGACTGCTGGGAGCAGGGAATGTTCTGCTGCTTAAATTGTTCTTTTTTTGAAAATTCATTAAACTGTATACTCAGCAATTTGTGAACTTCTCTATATGTATGTTATACTTTAATAAACGTGGTATTTTGTTTGTTTGTTTGTTTTTAAAGTTTTTCACCAGAAGATAAGTTTCAGGGAATGGGGAGGTGACTGTGGGCTAAGGAAGTTGAGTAAATTTCTGGTTCCCAGTTGAACTTCCATCTCCCTCCTCCTTTCTTTGGATCTATTAACTGTTGTGACTGTTGGATCTATTAACTGCTTGGATCTATCATATTGTGTCAACACACATGAGAACTTAGCTATCTATAGTAAATATTGGATCAGTTACTCAGATAAGCTTAATATTTGCATTTCCTTATACACTTTATTGTTTCAGGAATTACTTCCAAGTAAAGAGCCCAAGACCTCCTAAGGGACACCCTGGTAGACACCTCTATTTTCCAAAGAGAGAAGTCATTCTTACCTGTGTCCTGATTGTTATTTAGGACACATGGTTCAGTGTTTATGCCAGGTAAGTGGGTTTCAGGTTGGGACATTTGCTTGGGAGAACAATTTCCAACACTCTGGTCTCTAGCAAAAACCTTGAAAGATTCTCAAGGGCCATGGAATACATCCACAGCTCCACCTGCCAGGGATTATACTGGAATGTGGGAATGCTGGTCTCTGGACCCTACCTGGACTAGAGCCCTGTAGAATTGTTTCTCCTTGATTGCATTCTCAAGGTCAGGTCTGTACCCTGAAGTTGATGAGGACATTCACTTTGCTTTATGGGTACTCTCAGGAGAAATGTGACCTACTTGAAGAATGGGAAGCTGGCACCTCTCAGCATGAGACTTATTTTTATCTTAAGAACACTTTGAACCAGGTAAGCTTCTCTTTTTAGTGTTGGAAGTTTCTTAAAGCCAAATGTGAGTATTAAACATGTTTAGGGATTTATATGCATTTTAATATATAATATCTGGCTCTATTTTATACCTTTATCCTTGTTTTATTATGTCTTTCTCACCTCCTTTTTATTTATGTTACCTTGATATATTTTATATATGCTTCTAGGTGACCTTCCAGTGTTCTAGAACCTTTGCACTTATTAAATGTTTGGGAATTTTGTGAACCCCTTGTTAACAATTGATAACGTGAAGTCAGCCATAGTGGGAATATTTACACCATGGATATAGGCAGACACTATAACATAGATCTTTTTTTAATTCCAGAGAGGTAATTTAATAGCATACTACAGTTTACATCCTTTCCAGAAGAGTAGTATATTAATAAGTATGTTTTTAAATTATACATTCAAAATTATTAAAAGTATTATGAAATTATGTAAGTTAAAGAGTATATATAATTTTAAATCTTAAAAAACTGTTTAGGGTACAGACGTATTTCAAGGGTAGATAAATTTATAAGACTGGTTTTTATTGATGGCAAGGGAAAACTGGGATTCTTCTAAACTGTGCTTTCTAGTCAAGTTTGGCAGTCATGCAGCTACTCTGTAAGGGAGGATATTTATGTATGTGGATGCGGTGAAAACTGTTTGTATTTCCATTGATCACATTTTAAGTTGCATTTTGGTAAATTGGGCAGTTTTAGAAGCAAGTTGATGTCCCAGTCCATGTGCAATGGTTGCTAAGGGACCATTCAATGCAAATTAGAAGTAATAATAGTTCTGGTTTAAAAGGGCAAAGAATTAGAGCTGGGAAGAGAAAGTGACTATGGAGGACAAAGGTTTTGCAGTGGCAAATGTGGATGCTTGCTATGCTGCTCTTCTTTCTGCTTCCGTCCAGGGGTAGAGAGCTAAGGAGGAATAGGGACAGTGCAGGCACATAGAGAGCTTCCTGCACTCGCTGGCTGGCAAGTGCTCAGGGTGCTCTGGTCTTGGTTTGCCATAGAAAAAGTACAAATAGCTACAGCCAGCATGTTTGTTATTCAGAATTGGCAGCCCAGCAATCTCCATCTTTAGCAATAGCACGTAAGAAAATAGAAAAAGATCTGTGACAGTAAAATGGCAATCCCTGAGCCACAAACAATGATACTGAAGATAGCTGGCAAGGGAAGATGGCTGGCACATGTCCCAAACCTGAAGATCTCTCAAAGGCATTAAAATGGGACCATTTACTGACCATGGAAATGCTAACGGTGACAGTGCAATTGCTGCCAGGTGCAGGACTCTGCTAATGAACACTTTTCTGATATTAACCCTTTTATCTCATAACAGATGAAGAAACTGAAGCATTGATGGGTAAAGCCACTTGATCGGGGTGCTCAGTGAACAAGAGAAGGAGTCAGGATTTGGGCCTCTGCTCAGGTCAGCCAGAAAGAAGGATTTGTGTGGATGGCGGTCATCTGAACTGCAGTGTCCAGGGCACCAGGAACCAGTAAGTGAAGAGTGGGGATGTGTGTGGCATGAGAACAGTAGAAGAGAGATGGGTGGATAGAAACAAGATAGGTGCCGGATCAGGAAACCTGCAGCGTCAAACCAGAGGGAAACAAAACCTACTTAGGAAACCTAGACAATCTGCTCCCTACTGTTCAGCAGCCCCATGTATTCAGGCCATCACTGTGTCTCCATGCTGTGAAAGTCAGCCACAGTTTGGAATTTGGAAGGCTGGGACAATTAGTGGAAGGGCTAGACAAGGCTTACTCTCTTCTACCCTTTAGTGGTTTGGTGTTGAGAGAAAGCCCATGCTAGTTTAGGCAGTTTTTTACAGGGGACCACACTGAGTTGCATTTTTGAACTAGTGACATCTCATCCCAAGTGTGGATTATCATCACACAGGAGATTTTGGTTGGGGGTGGGGGGGGGTCAAGGGATTGGGACTGAGAATCATATCGCTTTGGAAAGATTGCTTTCTGAGACAGTCAGAAGCAAACCCATAAACACAAACCAACCAACCACTGAGCTGAAACTGTCAGGGAGAAAGTGGGAATCTGTGCTTGGTATAGGGCAAAGACAGAACATTTGGTCATATGAACACCGATCTTGGTTCTTCATTGGGAACATCTATCTCTGAAGGTCACTACTACTTATCCAAGAGCTGTACACACCACAGTCCTTAGTAGTTGATAAAATTCTTTGTGGATTGCTGGTCAAGTCTTTATTGATTGAATTACCACACAGACACACCAGGTGCTAGATCTTGTTTTATTTGAGGCTTTCTTGGCTGCACTTTGAACAGAGCCCTGACTTCTCCTTGACTTTGGTGTGTCCAGACCCAATAGCTCTGAAGGTGAGCTCTGCTTTCTGAGAAGTGAGCTGGCGGTTTCCCCTCCCAGCCTCCTCCTGCAGGATCCATCTTCACAGACAGTTTTTCTCCTCTCTTTTTTAACAGTTTTATTTATTTATTTTTAAAGATCGATTTATTTATGCATGCAAGAACTGGGATATAGGCCAGAGGTGCGGGTGTCAAGAGGATTCACCAGAGGCAGAGTAGGCAACAGAACAGGCAGACTGAAATACATTGCTGAGGGGAGCAGTGGGTGAGACAGGAGAGGTCTGCTGCACCATGTGGGTGGCTCCCTGTCTGGCTAGGAATCAAACTCATGCTGCAGAGGCTGTGGATAGCTTCACAGTGCTGTGCTTAACCCCTTGCGCTACCAGGGAGGCCCTTTTTTTGACAGTTTTATTGAGATAAATCTATATATCATGAAAGTCACCTGTTTTAAGTGGGTAATTCAGTGGATTTTAATATATTTAAAGAGTATGATCTAATTTAGAACATTCCATGACCCCTGAAAAGAAACCTCTTGCCCATTTGTATTCACACCCCATTCTTACTCCCAAATCAGGCAACTGATAACTTTCTGTCTGAAGTTTGTGCTGGGGAAACAAGGTATGCTCTGCAAATATACCTTCTGCCCTGCCCCTGGGGTGAAGCAAAATACAAGACAAGTTGACTGTTTTTATGTGAGTTGATGTCCAGTCTCATAAAATAAAAAAATCTGGTAACAGCTAATATAATATGTTAAAAGGTACACTTGCCTATTGTGTGATACACCTTTAACATCTTCTGATGAAAGGTCAGTTCAGAATTGTTGGCTGACTATGGTTGAAATCATTGGTTGACAGACCACACTTTTATAATTGCTTGATGATTTTAGAATGGCCCTTGAGAAAGTAAACACCTAGATTATTTTTTCTTTACTGTTTACTTTCCCTTTGAAATTCCATGCCGTTGATAGAACTTATGCCTTTGGATGCACCTTAGAATATGAGCTGCCACTATGGAAAGCTGTGTGGAGTTTCCTCAGAACACTAAAAATGGATCTAACATATGATCCAGTGATTCCACTCCTAGGAATCTACCTAAAGGACACAAAAACACCAATTTGAAAGGATACCTGCACTCCTATGTTTATTGCAGCTCTATTTATAATAGCTAATATATGGAAACAACCCAAATGCCCTAAAATAGACAAATGGATCAAAAAGTTGTGGTATATATACACAATGGAATATTATTCAGTGATCAAAAAAGACAAACTCATGCCATGTGCAGCAATATGGATTGAGTTGGGAGGGATTATGCTAGCCGAAATAAGGCAGAAGGAAAAAGATAAATATTGGATGGCCTTATTTATATGTAGAATATAGAGAAACCAAGCAAAAGGTCAAGAAACAGTCAAAACTAAGAAGCTGACTATAGATTTGAGTCATACAGCAAGGGAGGTGGGGTCAAAATGGGAAAGATGAACACAAGGGAATATAGTGATGGTTCATGGGTGAGGCGGTGATGGGAGAACTATGGGGACTACAATGAGGTAAGAAAAATTAATTAATAAAAACCAAAAAAGAATGAGCTGCTATTATAAAGCAGACTTCATGAGGAAGTTGGTCCAGTATTAGAATTGTGCTAGCTGTGTTGAGAAGACTGTCCTTTTCCGCTTAATTGTCTGTGCTCCCTGGTCAAAGGTCAGCTGACTATATTTATGTGTCTATTTCTGGGCTTTCTATTTTTTTCCCATGTCTTGTGGCTTTATATATCACTTATATGCTAATGGTCCTCATTTGTGTGTCTAGCCTAGCCTAGACTTCTTCCCTGAAGTCCCAGAGTATGTATCCACTGCCTTTCTGATGTCTCTACCAAAATGCCTAAATAGACATCTCAAACTGAACATGTGTAAACACAACATCCTCTCCCCCCCACCCACCCATTCTGCTCCTCTTATCACAATTAATTGCAATTTCATCTTTCTGTTGACTCAGATAGACCATCTTAATTTCTTTCATTTTTCTTATACTTCTTATCAAACAGATCAGGTAATCCTGTTGACTCTATTTTAAAATATGTCAAGAATTCAGTCCTTTCTCCCCATCTACTCTGCACCGACTCTGGTCCAAGCCACTATAATTCCTCACCTTGGTCACTAAAGTAGATTCCAAATGTTGTGGAGGATCCATGCTCTGCCCGCTACTTGTGAGCCAAACACAAGAGCTGGGTTAGGAAAACAGGGCTATTCATAAAATGGTACTAATGGGAGATGGTGGGGTCACCCCCTAGAAAAACAGTCTCCCTTCTTGGGACTTCGGGGTTTTTTAAGACTATCTTGAGAAAACAGCTGAGTTTAGAGGGGTTCCTGCTGTCGTCCTATTGCAACAGGGTGGTCCCCAGGAAAGGGGGAGGTTCCCTGCCCCACCCAAGGGAGGGTGGAGCTGAGCAGGAAGAGGAGAAGCTGCAGAAGAGACTGAGGAAGGAAGCAGGATGGAGCCAGGAGACCAGGAGGAGGCGCATGGAGCCTAGAGACACGTGAAGAAACTGCGCTTGTCTTTTGTCTATTAATAAAAATTAAAAGGGAGGATTGTAACAGGGTGGTCCCCAGGAAAGGGGGAGGTGCCCTGCCCCACCCAAGGGAGGGTGGAGCTGAGCAGAAAGAGGAGAAGCTGCAGAAGAGACTGAGGAAGGAAGCAGGATGGAGTCAGGAGACCAGGAGGAGGCGCATGGAGCCTAGAGACACGTGAAGAAACTGCGCTTGTCTTTTGGTCGTGGACTGGGTGACACAGATGTGGGTGAGACCCGTGGGGAGGTGACAATGGCAGCTTTTATCTTGATGTTGATTTTGCTCTTTTCCTTCCGGGCTTGTCCGGTTGTTTGTGACCCTTTTCTGTGGGTCCCCACTGGAAGATGCTTTAGACTTGTGGCAGGCCTTGGGGCCTTGCTCTGGGCCAATCCCATTTGGATGGACTTTTACCCACGAGGGGACGGGTAACTTTGGGTGCTTCATTTAGAAACTAGATTCTTTGCCTTACCTGTATTGTTTCCTAGTTTTATTAAAGTTCCTTTTCATTAAAGTCTCCTATGTTTTGTGTTGATGCGGCGGATGGCAGAACCCATTTAGAATAGGCAGGTTTGCGGGGCTTGGGCTGCCCCTCTCCCTGTCCTGTAACACTACTGGTGCTGTTTGGTTGGTCTGGGTGATCTGGGTCATTGTTCCATGATTCATCTGTCAGTAAAGAAACAGCACAAAAATGCTGGAAGTTTGCTTAAGACCTTTTAAGGGAGTTAAGATGTTAATGATCTAAGGGACACAACTGAGTTATTTTATTTTTTCCTTTTATTAATTTTTTATGCTGTTGTTCATATTTTTTACAGTATTTACACCTGTAAATATCCCACCACCACATCACCTATAAACCATCACCCTGGTCCCTTGTGTTCTTCCCACACCCTGTTTTGATTCCTTTTCCTCCCTCTCCCCTGCTTTAAGCCTCATATCTATAGTTATCTACAAGTTTTTTCTCTTTTCTTTCGACCCTATGTTTGGTTTCTCTATATTCCTCCTGTAAGTGATATCATCTGATATTTTTCTTTTTCCTTCTTTTTCCTTCTCCTTATTTCAACAGAGCATATCATCCCTTCTAGCTCCATCCATGTTGCTGTGAATGCCATGAGTTTATCTTTTTTGATTGCTGAGTGGTATTCCATCATGTATGTATACCACGTCTTCTCGATCTACTCATCTTTTGGGGGCATTTAGGTCGTTTCCATATCTTAGCTATTGTAAATAGTGCTGCAGTGAATATAGGAGTGCAGGTTTCTTTCTAATTTATGTTTTTTGTGTCATTTGGGTAGATTCCTAGGAGTGGAATTGCTGGGTCATATAGTAAATTCATTTTTTGTAATTTGAAGATCCTGCATGCAGGTTTCCATAGTCATTGGACCAGTTTGCATTCCTACCAGCAATGGAAAAGGGTTCCTTTTTTCTCCACATCCTTGCCAGCATTTGTTAGTTTTTTTAATGTGGGCCATTCTTACTGGTGTAAGGTGATAATCTCATTATAGTTTTGATTTGCATTTCCCCGAAATGCAAATTTCATGTGGCTGTTGGCCATCTGTATTTCCTCTTTGGAGAAGTGTCTTTTTAGCTCTTGTGCCCACTTTTTAATTCTGCCCACTTTTTTGATTCTTTTTGTTTTTGTTGAGTCGTATAAGCATTTTGTAGATCTTTGACGTAAGTCCCTTATCAATTGTATGGAATGCAAATGTTTTCTCCCAATCTGTATGGTGTCTCTTTGTCTTGGCTGTTATCTCTTTTGCTGTACAGAATCTTTTTAACAACTGAGTATTTTAAAGGTTACGTAATGGCTGAGGCAGAGGCCTTTCCCCCTGCCTCAGCCATTTTTTCAACTTTTATTTTGTTTCTTTACATTTCATTTTTACTTTTTACATTTTAAGAAGGACAGGTTGATTAGGAAAAGGAGAAAGGAAAAGAAAGGAGCACATGCATAGACACAGGTGGGCAGAGACCTGCTGCTTTTCAAAGGGAAAAGGGTTGTGAAAGTAAACTCCTGTAGGGAGGCAGTCTTGGGAAGAAAGCTGCCCTGTTTGTGTTCTGTTTTTGCACTTTCACTAACTAGTCTCCCTGCTTCTGCCCTTGCTTCCCTATGGTCTATTCATGGGGCAGCTAGAAGCAACCTGTTAAAGTCAATATTATCACTTCTCTGCCCACTTCCCTCCGTAGTCTTCTGGTTGAATTCAGAGTAGGCTCTAAAGAACTTCTAGTAGCCTGTATAGTTCTTTGTCACTTGCCTTACCCACTTACCTGTCCAAGCTCACCTCCCACTACTCCCCCTTACTCACTTTACTCCAGCCTCCCTGATGTCATCCCTGTTCACCAAACATCGTGCACAGGCACCTGTCTTAGGCCCTTTGCATCAGCTCCCTCTGCCTGTCACTTTCTTTCCCAAGATCGCCACAGAGCCTGCTTCCTTCAAATCTTTGCTCAGATTCCACCTTCTTCTGGAGGCTTTCACTTACCAACCTATTTAAATACCTCCTTGCCATGGGCAATTTCCCCCCATTACCTTACTCACTTCCTTCTCCTCTCCCTTTATAACATATAATTTACTTATTTGTAGGTTCAGTGAGGGTAGGGATTTATGTCTTTGTTACATTTCCAGTGCTGTGAGCTGATCCTGTCTCATGGTTGGCTACTGTTGTGTGTGCTGAATAAACAAATGATTAGAAGAAGAGGCGGTTAGCACGCCCTTCTCTGACTGAGTGTCTGTAAATGCAGTGTGTTTGTTGGGTGGTGGGGCAAGAACCTGTAAGCGCTGGGGTGGAGAGACTGCCTACAATGGAGGAGCATTCAGTCCTGCTCTACACTGTGACCTAATTTGTGGAGATTCCCCTAGGTCAAGTGGTCGCTGAGTTGATCACTGAACTCAGCACATGGGGATGAGGGAATGCTGGAGGTCAAAGTCTGGGGTGGGATAGTAAGAGGTAGAGTGGGGCATGTCACTCTTGTGCCAGGTGAGGATAGGTGCAGTGGGGAGTCCTGTGGGCCTCTGAGGAAGCCTGTCTTACCCCTTGAAGAAGCCTGCCTTACCCCTTGAGGAAGCCTGCCTTACCCTAGAGGTGGCCAGCATTTGAAGAACCCCTTCAGAGGACATCAGCTGTTTAGCAGTATTGGCCTTGAGACACTGGAAATATGATGCTACTTATTTAGTTCCTTCTGGCTGATTCTTCTGCACACTCTTCCACCCTCAAGCTGAAGAGTAGAAACCAGTTGGAGGGATGGAGGAAAGCATGTGCTCCATGCAGGCCCCTCCCCACTCCTGACAAGAGACAGGGTAGATGGGAGGCTTGATGGAAGCTGTGAAGTGGACTGAGCTGAGGATAAGCTCTGAGCTCTACCAGAATATCACTGAGGGAGGGAACAGAGTCATTCCATGCAACATAGCTGAAGGCAGTGGGTATAGGAAATAACAATGTGTTATGTTAGTTAAGTGAAGAATCTAAGGAAAATAAACACTGTTTTGAGGTCTGAATTTGCAAATCTAAATCCATGAAGAATAGCAAAGAGTTATCTTTGCTTCATGAGACAGCTTTACTCAAGATAAAGTGAGATTTAAAAAAAGCAGAAAACTTAATTTCCTAAAAATATTTCAGATGTTGCTCCAAGTTCTGAAGAAACTTGGAGCATATTTTAATATGCTAAGCTAAATTGGGCCGGGAAACACATTGAGAGACCTGGTCTCCACTCCATGCTGTGCGGCCTCCGTTCCCACCCAGAGCAACAGCACCCACCCTGTGCTCCCATCACACCTGAGTATGCTAATGAGCCCAAGATCACACAATCATTGAATTTTGGAGCTAAAAGACATGAATTAGTTCAATTCATCATAATAACAAGATGATGCAGTCTCAGAGAGGTGGGTGATTTGGTTAGGATCACAGAGCAAATTGGGAGTTGTGGTTGGATGAAAAATGGCTCCCAAAGATGTCTATATCTTGACCCCCAGAACCTGTGGATATGCTTCTTTCCAGTGGCAAAGGGGACTTTTCAGATGTGATTAAGGGTTTTCTGATGGAGAGATTATCCTGGAGTGTCCAATATAATCACAAGGATCCTTGTAGGAAGGGTGGGGAGGGTCAGACAACAGAAGCAGACATCAGAGTGATGTAGCCATGAGCCAAGGAATGTAGGTACTTTCCAGAAACTTAAAAAAAAAAGTAAGAAAGCAAATTCAGCTCTATAACCTCCAGATAGAATGCAGCTCTGCTAATATCTTTATTTTAGTCTCTTAAGACTCAAATTGAAATTTTGACCTCCAGAACTGAAAGATAATATATGTTGTTTTAAGTGATTAAGTTTGTGATATGTTGTTAGTGGGTAACTACCACTGGGGTGAGTCTGACTCCTGTCTCCTGTTCCTAGGCCTTTCTTCTATGGTTCTGAATTGTGATGAAACATGTGATTCCTTGAATAGGTTGGATGTTCCACACTCTGGCATGAGCCCTATGCTGGCGACTGAGGTCTGGGAGGTGATGGAAGAGCCACTGGGTAAGAAAACTTTCCTCTCCATGGTGTAGCCGGATTCAGATATAATCCAGACAAGGCCAGCTCCCAGAATTTTAAGACCTAGAATCCAGGGTGTGTAGTGCTTGAGAATTGAGGAAGCCTCTTCGGGTGCTCTGCCTAATTGCTGGTGGGATCCTGGAGTTGGGGCCAAGATACCCACTAGATGGTCAGTGGGAGCTTAGCCACAGAAGAGTGTTAGTGGGTCAGAGCCAGAAGAGGAATGTGTGGGGCACATAGGTTTGAGGCTGGTTTTACAGGGATGTTGGGAGCCCATGAATGTCACTGGTGTTAAAGGCAGTGAATGAGATTTGAGAAAGGATGTGGTCAGCAGCAGGCCAGTCATTTCAGGGATTGGTAGGGAGGTTGGATGACCCGAATTATTTCCCCTTCTCCTTTGGACTGCTCTCAGGACTGAGATGGGATTGGAAGAGGAGGAGAGGGGGAATGGTAATGAAGCCAGCTTTTGAGAAGCTTAACAGAGAGCGTCAGTACAATGAATTGGAGGTTGACATGTCCCACTGTTTTCATAGATGAATTTAATAAAGTCACAAAAACATACAGGTAGTGCAAGTCCTGCTATCACTGGACTATGGCTATAAAATAAGGTCACATTTCCTTTCAAATGCCCAACTTCCAATAGCTTATTGGCTCGCAATCTTGGCTGGATACTAAAATAGCCTGAGAGCTTTGAAAAATCCTGTGGCCTGATTCCACCCCCAACCAGGGGTCCTAGCCCTTGTCCAGAGGCAGCCTGGACACTAAGATTTGGACACTAGATGCCCTTAAGGGCATCTAGTTTAGTTTAAACTTCTAGTTTAATCCCTGCAAGCTTATTGCTTATTTATAATAGGATCTCTCCAAATATACCACAGCTGTGTTCAAGGGTCTCACTGGCACACACTCATTTGGGCTTGGGGCAAACCCCCCACCACCTCTGGCACCACCTCCAAGCCCTGATGCTGGGCCACTATCTACCCTTCTGGGAGCTTGGCTCAGGAGGTGCTATTCTCCATAAAGCTACAGGTCCCAAATGTAAGACAGGACTTCTTGTGAGTCCCCATAGAATGGCTGAGTTGGGTCATGGTACCCAGGCCTTCCTGGAACAGAGGAAGATAAGTACACCAGAGAGCAACTGATAAGCGGGAAAAAGGAGGTAGCCCATGGGGGCCATAGGCAGAGCTACCCTCAGAGACCCTCCCAGGGCCTCCACTACTTTGCCAGAAAAAACCAGCTCTGGACCTCACTCCTAGAGCAGAGTCTGCTGCCTCTGGTGGCTGCCCCATGTCCTTTGCCCAACTCTAAGGTCTGACGTTAGCTCCACTTTCAGCCCCAGCATGTGCGACAGTGGGAAGGCCCACTCTCTAACCCCAGAGTCCCACCCTGTGGCCTCCAGAGACTTTAAGAATACAAATGTGCAACATCAGCACTTTCAGGGGACTTGGGTCTCAATTGTCTGAGTAAGTGGCTGGCTGAGTAACAGCCTCCTCCTGTGGGAGGATAGAGGCAGATTTCATCGCTCTATTTCTCAGTCTAAATCTCTACTGTGAGACCAGAAAAAAAATATCCAGATATCCCAGGAAATAGTCAGGAACAGTTCTGAGTCCATCCAGACAATGCTGTGTGTCTCCCAAAGGAACATGTTCAGAGTGGGGCAGAGTACGGAAGTGTGAATACAGACTAGTTATGAAAATGAATATTTATATAGAGTGAGAAAAAAACCCAGGAAACTGCAAATGTTAAAATGCTGAAAAATACCTTCAATAGCACAAAATCCGGGAAAATGATCTAATATTTTAATTAATTAACAGCTTGACATGGCTTTATGGTTTACTGTATTTTTTTTTAACTGCATACTCTTTGATTACTTATCAGATTCTACAGAGGATGGAAAGATAATACTTTCTATTTAGCATAATTTCTAATTAATATAATTTCCTTTTGCACCATTGATCAAATTTCACTTCACCTGGGACAAGACTTCATTGGGACAAGATGTGTCAGTATATTAAAAAGATCTCTTGTGTTGGAAGACAGGAAACATATGACTCCCACTGAGATGTCCTCTCTGCTGGGAGTATTTTACTGGCTTATGTCCCACAAATGCAGAGATTATTATTACTTATGTGTGTGTTTCAACCTGCAGAGAGGATTTTGTTTTGTTTTTCAAAATTGAGATTTAATTGACATATAATGTTCTATTAGTTTCAGGCATATAGCACAGTGATGGGTTGTGTCTATATTGTAAAATGCTCACAATAAGTTCAATACATTTAACATTATCAACTACCTCACATGACTTTTTTTTCTTACATGAGAACTTTTGAAATGTACTCTTGAGTACCTGTCAAATACACAATTGTTGACTATAATCACCACGCTGTGCATTATATCCCAGGACTGATTAGAAATTTTGATAAAGTTTTATCAGAGAAAAAGAAAACAGTGTGTTTATGATTGTATAAGCTTCATTATGGAGACTGTTCTTGCCAAGAGAGAATGTTTGTTCTGAATCGGGTCAATAAGAATGGAATCCTTTGCTTACAACTGTACACATCTGGTGATTCAAGGAATTTTCCACAGACCAGCTTCTGGCTTTGTGTACTTCAAGTCTTGTTTCTTCTCTTACCCACATGCTTCTTTGGCCAGGTATGCTTGTGACAGTATGTCCATGGGCCCTCAACTTTCATGGCCAGCTCCAGAGCCTCTTCCTAGAGGATGTTCTTGTACCTGGGCAGCTGGCAATAACTTGAGTTCATGTAGAAGTGACTGTGGACCATGTAATTGGATCCCACTAAATCCAAACTAAATGTATCTCCAATCTTATTTCCCTTGTTGGAGCCCCCAAATGCCCATGGCCATTCCATCACCCGGCCCACAGAGAGAGAGATAGGAGGAGTTTGGGATAGTTATACGCAGTGGTCTCACTCAATGGTTGTCAAAATATCTTACTTTTAGAAGTTTTACAGAAACATGATTATCTTTCCAGGGTCTAGGAAATGACCTGGGCAAGAGAGGGGCCCTGCAGCTGGAGCTTCAGGGGTGCAGGTCAGCTGAAAGGCACCTTGCTGTACCATACCCTCAGACCTGAGGAGGTGGGGCTGGTTTTACATATGAATGGCCAACAAGCCATTTAGAATATTTATTCTACAGCAAGGAAACTGCCTCAAACTCAAGACTTATCATTTGGGAGGCAGAAAACTGCTTGAAACTTAAGTTTTTCCGGTCTCTCTTCATTAAGAATAATTTGTTTCCCCTTTTAAAACTGTCCGGTTTCCTCTTCCTATCTTCAGAGACACCTGCTATCATTTTAGTTCTCCAGTATCTGTACCAAGTCTATGTTTTGCAAGTGAGTCCAATGAGAAATTTTAAATAAGTTCTGTTGGATAAAATGGTACAGTGCCTCTGGAAAAATTTGACAGTTTCTTATAAAAGTAAACATAATCACCTTATACCTCAGCATTCATACTCTTAGACTTTTATCCTAGGGAAGTGAAAGTTTATGTTCACATAAAAGCCTGTGCAGAAATGTTCATAACAGCTTTATTTGTGATAGCCCAAACTTGAAACAATCCAGGAGTGCAGTGGGTGAATGGTTTAACAAATTGTGGTACACCCATACCGTGGATACCACTTAGCAATGAAAAGGACAAACTACTAATAATACATTGCATTTTGTTGGGGACTTAAGAAATTTGTGCTGAGTACAAACCAGTCCTAAAAGTCTGCTTACTGTTATGATTCCATTTATATAACCTTCTTGTGTCATTTGGTGCAATCTCTATGGAAAATGGCATGATGTTTCCTTTAAAAAAAAAAAAGGAAATCCCATGTGATTCAATAGTACCATTACTAGGTATTTACCCAAAAAATAAGAAAACACTACTATGAAAGATTTATAGCAGCATTATTCACAATAGCCAAGTCTTGGAACCAACCTAAATGCCCACTGACAGATGACTTGAGATAGAAATTGTGGGACATACACTCAATGGAGTACTACTAGCTGTTAAAAAGAAAGATGAGGGCCTCCCTGGTGGCGCAAGGGGTTAAGCACCATGCTATGAAACAATCCACAGCCTCTGCAGCAAGAGTTTGATCCCCCGGCCAGGGAGAAACCTACATGGCGAGGCAGAGCTTTCCTGTCTCGCCCGCTGCTCCCCTCAGCAGGTTATTTCAGTCAATCTGCCTGTTCTGTTCCCCACTCCGTCTGTGGTGGATCTTCTCACTCCCCACACTTCTGGCCTGTACCCCAGCTCTTGTATGCATAGATAAATAAATCTTTTTTAAAAAAAATAAGACAAAACGGTGTATTTTGGGACAAAATGGATGGATCTTGAGGTGCCTGTGCTAAGAGAAATAAGCCAGAAAGTGAAAGACAGATACCAGGTGATTTCATTTATTTATGGAACATAAATAACCAAAGAAAATAAGCTGCCAAAACACAGGAAAAATAAATCTTAGATTCTGAACAATATGCTGGTCAGCAGAGGAAACAAAGGGCAGGGAGGAAGGGCCAGGTGATGGGCGGGTATAGGATATTAGTGCAAGAGCTTTGGTGTAAGGTGAATGAAACAGGTGCACATATAGAGGTGTGAAGAGTACCTCCAAAATTATAGAGTTATGTAAATGATGGACAAATTAATAAAATCTGGAAAAAATTACAACAAAGAAAAAAATTCTTGAAATGATGAAACTGGAGATGGAGAAGAGATTCCTAGTTCCTAGGGACTTCTCAGGGGGAAGGATGCAGGTGGGATGAGGTATGTGGATATAAAAGGGGGTATAAGGGGTCCTTGTGATGGACCTGGTCTACACCTAACTGTGGTGGTGGAAATTACATGTGATAAAATTGCATATAACTAAATATATAAAAATAAACACAAATAAGTGCATATTAGACTGGTGAAATCTGATCAAGACTGGTGCTTTGCCATCATTTATGTCAGTTTCCTGGTTGTGATATTACTATACTTTCACAGGATTTTATCATTGAGGAAACATTGAAGGATACATAGGATCTTTCTGTAGTTCTGAAGCTACAAAGATCTCAAAATAAATTTTATTTTGAAGTGAGTTACTTAGATATTTGGATGATAATAAAAACACAAGTATGGGTATATTCTGGATGATTTGAGTGACCCCTTTATAACCTACTTCCCCCGTGGGCCATCTTGTTTTCTTTGGTTGGAATGTTTATTACCACTTTGTGCCAATCAGTAACAACCACTAAGCAATAACAGAGTCAAGGACAAGCCTCCCCAGGAAGCAGGCCAAGTGTCAGGCACCTGGTACAAACCCAGGGAGATTTTGCAAGACAAGACTGAGAAAAATTCTTATGGGCCCCCAGTGCTGCCTTTATTATCATTATACTGCTTAAATATGTGTAAGCTCATATATAGCTATAAAGTCAAAACAAATTTCTGAATAAAATAAAAACTACAGAACCAATAAAATTCAAATTAGTGACATCAATTTAATGCGATGAATGATGCTGTTGTGCTCAAGCTAAATTACTGAACACAAAGTGGTGATTATGCTCCCATTGCTACAGAGCATGCCTACCATCTTCATTTGGAATTGGGATTTCTCTACTTACAACTGGAACTTTCTAGGGAGCCAAGGAGCTAATAGGAAAAGATCTCAGCCCTTCTAGACTAAGTACAACCAGAGCCACTCTTTCTCTACCTTAGTAACATTCATCTTTTCAGACACAGCCCTGAACAGCCTGGTTGGCTATTTTTCTGGCTTTTACAAACAGCACAAGAGGGCTTTCCCCTCCTGGAATGCCAGCAGAGAACCTAACAGTATTGGTGATGAGAAGTTTATGAAAGGCAGATACAGAAATGAAATATTTTAGCATCTGAGAGGAAAAGGCATAGAGCTTCTGAGAAAATCTAGGATGATGACTGCAGTGTGGTAAATACTGTTAATGATAATGAACTTGAGCAATAAATGATAGTTTGAATTATGTTGAGAATTTCAGGTTTAGGAAGACTGGGCTGTGTCATCTGAACCATTATGTGTTTTTGAGTTCTGACCTTTGAGTGAACAAATTTCAGTTATCTCCAGACCGGTACATTTATGGGTACTCCTTCCCAGCAGGGAGAAGATTCTGGGGAGAGAGAGAAAGAGAGAGAGAGAAAGGGAGAGAGAGAGAGAGAGAGAGAGAGAGAGAGAGAGAGAGAGAGAGTTGGGGGGGAGGAAGAGAGAGAGAAAGTGTGTGTGGTGTGTGTGTGTGTGTGTGAGAGAGAGAGAGAGAGAGAGAGAGAGAGAGAGAGAGAGAGATACTAAATTCTGTGACATTCAGAACAAATGGCCTCACACACAGTTAATCATCCCCTCCCCCCAGCACTCAAGACTGCTAATTGCCCCCCATTTCAGGATTTTGAGGCGGCACTTCCGACCTTCCGAGCTTTCATCTTCACACCTCTTCCCGCCTCTTATGACAGATAATTATGGCTGAGTGTGAGCATCAACAGAAAAGCAGACCTCTTATCTTCACATTGGGCACTTAAATGAGCATTTTAAGACAAATTATTAATAACTGTACTCAAGAAAATGATATCAGCAAAGCTTGTGAGATATTGAATTGTTATATTGTGACTGTGGAAGAAAAAAGGCCATTTCCATGATAAAAAGGGGAACTTTTATGAAGTAATTAAATATTAATTTATCCAACAAATATTTATTACTTACCTTCTACATTCAAGATATTTTATTAGGGACCACAAGGTACACAAAGTCATACATGATTCAGTTCCTGATTTAATGGAGTTTACAACCCAGGAGTTTAAAAAAGACTTATTGTTTAAAATACCTGCAATATAGAGAAGTGTCAAAAATTTATTTCAATCCTGGCATGTGAGTAGGTGAGAAGGGGGCCTGTCTAACAAGAAGGGACCCCTGGGCTGCCGGAAGGGTGGGCAGCACAGTTGTGGTGGATGGGGAAGCACACCCTGTGGAGAGGACAGTGTAGGCAAGACTGTGGGGTAGGGGGAGGCTAGGAAGCCCTGAGTGCCTCTGAACTATGAAATTGACAGGAGATTAGCTGCACAAGGGCAGAGATCAGACTGTAAAGCATCTTAAACACTAGGCTAAGGAGTTAAGCTTCCTTTTCTGGGACATGGAGTAACTAACAGAGGTGGTTTGAGGGGGGACAATTAGAAGGGATTAGAAGGGCCTTCACTTAGGGGAATGTTGCAGGGGCCGGGGGGAAGACCTGGAGATTCCCCTCTCCAGGCATCTTTGGAATAATTTCAGGGGCCTGGCAAGGTAAAGTCTGCAGGTGGGTGAGCCTAGCTCTCATCAGAAGATAGCAAGTCTGAGCCAGCAAATGACACTGTCACCTGGCCCCATGCAAAGTGTTTGCAAGGCTGTAGGGCCCCTGCCTCTAGGACATTCTCTGCCCAGAGGGCCTTCCCTGGCTTGAGTGTTTGGAGATTAATCTACTAAATCTGTCTTACCTGCAGCATGACAATGGTGAATTTTGAACTGATTCCGGAGTCATGTGGTTTCATGAGATGCACCTCGGATCTCCCCAGAAGAGGTAACCCATACCTGGCGGTGAGTCCCTAACCTATGCCTAGAGGGGGACAGGCCCTTCCCATCTGCTGCTACTTGCCCAGTGTGTGCACAGCAAAGGCAGAAATTCCCATGAGAGGGCTAGCTCGTCAGACCTTCAATTTTTCATTTGTTCATTTGGCCCAGGTGTGCTGAGCCCTACTGTGTGCCAGGAGCCAAGCCACCTCTATGACAGCCAGTCCTGATGACCTTCCCTGAGATCCTTCTCTCTGCAGAGTGTGTGGTACACTATGGGTTTGCCTCACTGGCAAATTCCTCCTTCCAGAGGAAGAACTGCAGATTTACTTACTGGTGGGGTCTAGGCAGGTCTAGCAAGGAGTAGATAGGGGATTGCTTCTATGGGGAGCCAGGAAGTAAACGATCATGTCACTTCTAAAGGTGTCACCACAAAGGAAGTAGCATTGCTGGTGCACATGGCTGCTTAGAAGCTACTCCTCCTGGGGTATCCCATCTATTCCAGGCCCTATAGGCCAAGTTCTCTATGACACTAGGCCTCACCCCACCAAGACAGTCCTGAAAATCTGACACTGATTACCACATAGTAAAGATGGAGAAATTTGTTTCACAAGGACTGTCATGTTCTCCACGTTACTTAGTTCATAATTTGGATTTGAGCCCAGAACATTCCAGCTCCACAACTTAGGTCCCGGCTCACAGGTTTAACCTCTCGACTGTCCCCTGGGTATGAAAGAACATTTGGCTGCAGGTAACGGAACCTGACCATCTTGTCCTGAACAGGTGGGGGTGGGGTCCATCACCTTATTTCCAGGGCTTAATAGAGAGCTGGATACATTCTAAAGGTTCAAGAAATGCTGAATGGGTACAAAAGTGAATAACCTCCTTAGGTACTAATTATCTTAATATCTTGCATCAATATAACACTTTATTGTCTGTGCTCCCATTTCTGGGGTAACAGAGAAGACTCTATGTTGTTGTCCCTGTGAAAACAACCCTGGGCAGAGGCCAGGACAGTTCTTAATACCCCCATTTTGCAGAGGAGGAATCCGAGGCTTAGAAAATATGTGTCTTGTCTGAAGTCACAGAGGTAGGACATCCCAGTGTAGAATTCAAGCCTTTTTTTCTGATTTAGAGGTCAGTACCCCTTCTCCATTGCTCTATCTCCTTGGCTAAATAATATGCTAGAAGCTAAGGGACATAGTCTTTCTTTTTCTTATTAACTTTCTTTCCAAAATGGATGTAGAGATTCTACCAATGGGACCCTTCTATTAAACGCCATAAACCAGTAGCCCCCACCCTTCACTTCCCCATGGGGTCTTCTGTCTTGCTTTGAAAAGCAGCCAAGTCTTGGGTTCTGAAGGCAAGGGCAGAAAACGTATTAGGGTCTCTAATATGATAATGATATAAAAGGAATTTATGGTGCCCTAGAGGGAAAGAATTACAAATGGGTGAAAGGTGACTATTTAATGTACAGGTTTTTTTGGTGGGGTGTAAAAATAAATAGAGGGAAATAGAGTGCAAATAGAACCTAAGGCAAATGGACCTGTTACATCCGGTGCCTCCGCTGCAGCCCACCTTTCTGCGTAATGGTGGTTATTTGTAACTTTTCCTGCTTTGTAATTTTTCAAGTGGCTCTACAGCCTCTGGCTCCTTTGCCAGTCTTTGGGAGGTCTCTGGAGCTGCAGTGAATGAGGAGAACCCTTGGCCCTGCCGTTCTTTCTACAGGCCTTGTGCTTGCCACCTGCCTCCTGGGTCTCTGGTTCTTCCCTGAAGTCAGACCCTGGGCAGACTTGGCATGAAAGGACCATGGCCCGGGCTGTGCTCCTCCATACTGCCCCCTCCCCCATGCTAGGACACTCTGTGTGTCTGGCTCTGGACACAGGGAGTCCTCTTCAGGGGTGGTGAGGGGCCAGGGACCCTAACTCCCAGGAAGCCAGTTCTTTGCTGACATTCACATATTGGGCTCCTCCAGGTGCTCTGGTCTCTGGCACAGCCTTTATTCATGCCAAACTCCCAGCAGGTTGTCATGAGCTTTCCCATTCCGGGGACACCCATGAGCCTGCTCCCCAGATGCACAGCCTATGGCCCTTTGACTGCAGGCTATGGTCTGTCCTGCTTGACCATACCTGTCCTGCCAGTGGGGAAGCTGCCAGGTCACTGCAGGTGGGCTCTTTCCCCCCCCCTGAAATCCAGTTGCATTTCACCAAGGCCACTGACCTTTCAATGAGTAAATTCTCCTTCTGTTTGCCCAAACCCTACCCTATTCCAGACCTCACTGTTCTTGAAAAGGCCCTTGGCCCTCTACCTCAAAAAAGATCTCTACCTGCTACAGATGCTCTTTGACTTCACAACTGAAGCGTCTTTTCTAGTTTGTCCTCAGCCTACTATACCCACCCCCTTGGGGTTCCTTGTTGCCCCATCTCACAGGTAGGGTCCATAAGCTTTGAGTTTTACTCTAAGCTTTTTCTTTCTGATTTTTTCTCTGATCACTCTGACCTCTTGTTGGCACAAACAAACCAGGCAGCCTCATCTCAGCATAGGCATGGAAGCCATGGGTTACATCTTGGGCCATGAGGAGTGGGGTTGGGGGTAGAAGACTCAGAACACAAGTTGGGGACAGGAGGCTTTTCTACATCTTCCTGCAACTATGCCCAACCTCCACTGTTCAGGCCTCCCTGGCTCCCTTCTGCCTTGGACTTAGCTTCCAACCTGGCTGGGACTGCGCTTTCTGTTTCCACTGCTCAGGGGCAGGCTGACCCCATGACTGCTCTGCCCCTCTGCTGTTCAAGCTGAGCCCCCAAGTGGCCCAGGCTTCTGACAGGGGGTAAAAGGCTCATCCCACAGCATCTGGAGGATGTGCCAAAGGGCAGGTGTGGGAGAGCCCCCACAGTTCAGGTTCTACCCCCGCCCAGCCCTCACGTCAATTACTGGTTCCTAGGGTCACTGGGAACCAGCCAGCTCTCCCAGCATGGTGCGAACTTGCAGGACATGCCTGCAGCTACTCTGGGTCTGTTTCTGGGGTTTGCACCGTGGCCTCACCCTCTGCACTGTTTGACAAGTATGGAGACACAGGCTCCAGCACAAGTTGGAGTTTGAATCTCTCTGGTCTTGCAACACTGCGGGGCTTTCTCTTCAGTGCCCTGACTTGTGACTGCTCTTAATTTCTCAAAATGCACCCCAGGTCACACACATGTTTAGTCAGAAGTTGCTGATGATAGTGGGGAAACCTCCACTTTCTTAAGCAACTCGGTAAGGCAAATCTGCTGGCTCACAGTCAAAATAATCACATGCAAAATTTCAGTTCCTTCTGAAAACAGCCAGAATAGGCAGCTGTCTGGAGGCATCGGTAACATCAGGTGTCTGGATTTTTGAAGCTGAGGTCCTGGGGAGTAGGGAGCTTCTCCCAACAGTCATGAGCTGTCCACTGCCTGGTGGCTTAGCAATAGCTCTCTGAGTTCCTGTCCTGAGTCCCAAGCAAACAACAAAGTCTTTAAAAAGTGGATAATGCCCAGAAATGACTGGACAGAAAAACCCAGACACCCTGGAACACTCATGCAGAGGTTAGAGGGCTGACACCTCCCCTCATCAGTAGCTTCTGCGGACCAAGGTAAGTGTTGCTGGGGGATTCCTGGAGGTGAGCAGAGGGGAGAGTGAGCCTTCCACAATGGGCATGCTGTGAGGAGAGGACCCCTTGCCTGCTTAAGCCGTGGGAGTCAGTCCTCTGCTCTGTAAGGTTGAATGCCATTCTATTTAACATTTAAGAACTCAGATTAGAAAACTTCCATGCATGACTTTTTCTCAAGGCTACAATATTGATGCAATCTGCTCTCTCTGTGCTTCCCTCCTAGTGGCAGATGTCATGTGGGTCATGCCTGGTCTTCCTTCAGATCGCCTCAGCTCACCTTCTTGTGATGTTTTACACGCTCCCTCTCTGCCCTGCATTCCCTAGTCCCCTACATCTGCTTTATTTTTCTCCCAAGACTTCTCTACTTTTGTCATGTGTTGCTTTCTTTTTTTTATATCATCTGTCTTCCCCAGAATGTGACCTTTATAAGGAAGCGGTCATTGCTTTGCCCCTGCTATATTCTCCATGTCTAAAAGAATGCAGGTTACAGGAGCTCTTGTGGTAATAGCCTTTCAGTGTGTGTGGCTGTAACAGGAAGCCCGGGGGCAGGCAGGCAGCTGCTTTGTGGTCCACTGAGGACCCAGGCTTCTTTCTCCCTCCTGCTCTGCAGATGGCTTCCAGGCAGCACATGCCATATTTCAAGCAGCAAGAAGATGAAGGCCAATGGACAAAAAGCGCATGCCCATTATATTGCTAGTCTTCATGACAACAGAAACATAACTTAACTCCTTCATGGTTAGAACTGTGTTGCAGGCCTCTAGCCGCAAGGGATACTGGGACACGGCCTTCAGGAATCCATCAGGTTCTGCTGGAGAGGAAGAGACAGAGAAGGGACATAGAATGACAGCCAGCAGCACTTGAACCACTGTGTCCTCTGATGCTTCCCTAGGACCTGATTATGGTTTGAAAGGATTTTTTGGGGGGAAATAACTTATTTGGGGAATGAGTGCCTGTGAGGCATTGTACATACTCAGATAAAATGGTGAGTATTCAGGCCATCTAAGAACCCTTGTAAACCTCTTAGATCATTTAAGGGGAAGTAATTATTTTTTGTTTCCTTCTAAAAGGTTCCATTTTAAGTTCCTGTACAAATGTAGACACACTGTTATTATCCCTCTTCTTTCTACTTTGTGTCTGTGGAATTCTAGTCTTCTCTCATTGGTAGAAACCGAGGTGATATTTAATATCTACACTTTGGTTTAATGCCTAATCTGTACTCAAAGTCTTCTGCCTTCTTGAAAGACTGAACAAAACTGATGGGTCTGCTTTATTGGAGACCGAAATGGGGAGAACAATGCTACAGATTATTCTTCCTAGTCATGAAGCCTTGACTTCTACAAGAATTTAGTTGATAGGGAGTCTGGAGGGAAAATGTCAATGATCACCTTTGAAGAAATTGAAGTTGGGGCACTTTTTGATTCTGGACCACTTCATTTTATTTGATAAGAAAAAAAAACAGAAATGACTCACCAACAAGAATCCACATAAAATTGATATGTAGGAGCATTTGAATAAAAAGAAGTCATAAATAAGTAATAAATCCTCCACAGGACCATTGGAAATGGATAGCAGTAATGCTGAGTTTACTGCCTTACTTCCAAAGTGAAGCTATTTATTAAAATTTGGCACAATTCATTATAGTAGTCAGGCATTTATAAAATTCTCATCATAGTATAAAGAGTAAGAACGCATTTCCTAGGAAGTATTATTGTAATAAACTGTAATTAGTGGCTTGTAAACAGCTGCAATTCATTCATTTTTTGAAGGAAAAGGCATGTAGACAAATATTTGTGTGTCCATCCACTCATGGAGTGTTTCCCACAGGCTGGCAGCTCTCCAGGGCACGGGGCACCCACGCGGCTACACGTGGAGCGTGTGCTGGAAGCTCCAGGCTGTCCCTCCCAAAAGTCTTCCCCTGCAGCCGCCAGGATGACCCAGAGTCGGCCTGTATTTTACAGAGTGCTCCTTCTAACGATCAGCAAGTTGAATTCCCCAAACCCAAGCTGGGTGGCCCACCTTGGAAAGGAAGCGGGCCTGCCCGCAGGCCAGGCTCACCATGACACCGTGGACACCTCGGGCTACAACACGGGACCCGGGCGCTGCTTCGACCCCTCGTGTCTTGTGTTGCAGCCGGAGGGACGCAGGTCTGCAGCTGAGCCTGCTCCATGGACCATGGGACTGGACACAGCAGCAATGCAAGAAGACCCAGGCCCAGCGCTGGGGAAAGGTGGGTGTCCTGCGGGGCCACTGGCAGCAGCCATTCAGCCTCTCTTAGTGCGCGATCAATGTCGGTGCAGGGCCCAGCTGCACCCTCAGACCTCTTTGGGTTGTGTAAGGGGCAGGATGGGGCACAGTGAAGGTTTTCTGTGACCTAAGCAGACTGGGTAAAGGAGTCCTGGAGCCCTCGGTGACTTCCAGGCTTTTATTGGGATTTACCAGGTACACGGCAGGTAGGGGTGCTGGGGGGGCCGGTCAGCTGGCAGGCCTCCTAGACCCCGGCAAGTCTTCACTCTTCGTGGGCTCTTGCGTTCTCTCTGCTCTTCTCGTAGTTCTTCTTTCTGCTTCTCTGCTTCTGCTGGCATCTCCATGATGCCGCTCTTATAAGCCCAGTCTTAGCCCAGGTGAATCCCATCTACATATGCCCACACCCTACTCCAGGTGCCCACCATCAGGCATGCATGCAGTACCGCAAGGATCAATCATCAATCCTAATGGTGGGAGGGCAGAAAAGCCAGAAAAATCACTTACCCTACAGGTTGCTTGTGCTGATACTTTGGACCCTTTACCTGAGTTTTGAGGACACACTCCACCTGGGAGGTCAGGGGACCAAGGCGCCACAGTGAGGCTTGAGGGGCAGCAAGGAAGGCAGTTGTCACGCAAACATTTCGCACATTGGTGGAAAAACCACCAGTGGATCAGGCGTTCCCTTAAGGACAAGCTTGCGTTTCTGGGAGTTGCCTATAAAAATGTGTGTATTTTCTGCGAGATGGTAGATTAAATCACTGCAAGCACCAGCTGGGTTTCATTGATTACAATACTTTCCAACATGACAGGCACTCCAGAAGGAAATGAAATCAGATGGTGAATTTCAATAGGGAAGACACTCCAACTGAGCACCCTAAAACTGGAGGGTAGAGAGCACCAGAGGCAAGCTTCCTTCACCATTCTGTCATTCCCTGCACTGGGGTGGAACACGGTCCTGTGGGTGACGCCTGCCTTCACAGCTGGTACTTTTGCAAAGCACTTTCCCCCTGGCTGGCCATCCTTCAGCCAGACCCCCTCAACCACAGGGCCCGAGATCATGTGGGTGTGAACTTTCCACACCTGCCCCTAGTGAGTAGAAATCATCCTTTTCTTCCCTCACTTCTCACCAGATGTTCATAGGGCCCCCTCTCTAGAAGAACGTACTGATTTTAAAATGTACTAGGTTCAGTGTTTTTCCTTCTTTTGAATGATTTGGAGGGAGTAGAGTAAAATGAGAGACTCTAACACCACATTGATGGGGGAACCTGGTTGCTGAGAGGAATGAGATGAAGGAAGGACCCACAGTTGCTCCAGGAATTCTCCTCAGGCAGGTGTCTGTATTTAGGAAAATACCGCTGGATGGAAAGTAGGATCCTGGGGGTGTGATTTGGCCGACATCAAGGGACCAATGAAGCATCTAGATTGCTTTTTCTTTGAAATGAAAAGGAAGGGGGAGAGTAGAGAGCGGCTCCAAATGGTGTTTTATTTTGCAGTTTGCAGTTTGTGGTGTGAGGAAGAACCCATCCTTTGTCTCCTAACATTTGCTAAAGTCTGTTACACCCACCAAGAAGGTGTGAATGGAATTCTGTTGGTTCCTTGGTTTGGGTGAAATTTAGTGGAAGGGGTGAGCTTCGCAATAACATGTGAGTTAGCCTGATGATTCGTAAACTAATTTAGGAGTATTAGTAGCAGAAGAACTTTCATCTTTAAAGAAATTTGAAACTCATCGTGGGCAGTAGTAATGGTTAATTTTATGTGCCAATTTGGGCTGCAGTATCCAAGTATTTGGTCAAACATTATCCTGGATTTTGTGTGAAGATGTTTTTCGATGAAATTAACATTTAAATCGGTTTACTTCAAATAAAGCAGCTTACCCTCCATAGTGTGAGTGGGCCTCGGCCTTTACTTGAAGGCCTTAATAGATCAAAGACTGATTTCCCCTGAGCAAGAAAGAATCCTGCCAGCAGGGCCTTTGGACTTGAACTGCAACTCTTCCCTGGATTTCAGTTTGCAGGTCCACCTTACAGATTTTGTATTGATCCACTATTCTAAGATCCAGTTCCTTAAAATAAACTTCTCTCCCTCTCTCTGTCTTTGTATCTATGATATAAACATATAGATAGATAGATATACATCCTGTTGGTTTTCTGGAGAACCCTGATTAACACGGGAGAGGATATCAGATTGCCATAGAGAATGAGGATTTGAGACAATCTTATCTAGATTATTTGAGGTGGGGAAACTCTTAATAACATAGAAGACTTATTTTTGTAAAACTGATTTCTGGTTTAATTCCATTGTGGCAGAGAATATATGATTGCAATTCTTGAAATGTGTTGACTTGTTTGGCAGCCTGATATATGGTCTATATTGGTGAATATTCCACATGCACTTGAAACGAATGTATATTCTGCTTTTGTTGAATGGAGTTTTCTACAAATGTCAATTAGGAAAACTTAGTGGATAGTGTTGATCAAATTTTCTGTCTTTACTAATATTTCTGTTTGCTTATTCCAGAATTTACTGAGAGAAGCGTTAAAATACCTATATTAAGAGAAAGACTTGTTTAGTTCTATCAATTTTTGTGTAATGTACTTGTATTTGAAGGCATGTTATTGGGTTCTTATATTTAGATATCTTTTCCTGTTGAATTTTTCATTTTATCATTATGAATTGTTTCTTTTTCACTGATTGTTATTGCCTTGAAGTCTACTTCCTCTGTTATTAACATAGTCACACCAGTTTTATTATTAGTTTGTGTAGCATGTATCTTTCAACCTAATATTGTATGTGTATCTCATAAATAACGTAGCTAGATCTTTTTAAGAATTCAAATAACAATTTATATCTTTTATTGGATGTCTAATTCATTTGCTGTTACCATATTACTGATAAATTTGGGTTAAATAATTTTGTTCTGATTTTCTGTTTGTCCTATCTCTGTTCTTTTGTTCCTTGTTTCATGCCCTTTTTTTTTTTTAGATTAATCAAGTACTTTTTAGTATTTCATTTTATCTCTTTGCTTTTTAGTTATACTCCCTGATAGAGAGTTAATTTAGTGGCTGCTCAAGGGGCATCCTTAAGATATCACAATCAACCTTGAATTTATATTACACTACTATACAAACAACCTAAGAATCCTTTTTTTTTAAAGATTTATTTATTTATTTATACAAGCACTGGGTACAGTCAGAAGCGCAGGAGGGTGAGAGAATCCACCAGAGCCAGAGCAGGGAGCAGAACAGGCAGAAGGACCGAAGTACACTGCTGAGGGGAGCAGCAGGTGCAGCAGGAGAGGTCTGTGCGACATGTGGGACCCTCACCAGCGGCTGGGGAACAAACCTGCGCTGCAGAGTCTGCGGGCAGCTTCGCAGCCCAGCGCTCAACCTCTGTGCCACTGGGGAGGCCCCAGCCTAAGAGTCTTACACTTACATTTAACTCCATTTCTTGCTTTGTGCTATTTAATAATATATTTTATTTCTTTATTTGTTTTAAACTCCTCCATATAATGTAACTGCTTTTGCTTTAAATAGTCACTAGTTTTTCAAAATCTTTTGCTTTTGAAATAGCTATAGATTCATAGGAAGTTTCAAAATTAGTACAGAGAATCCTATGTATTCTTTGTCCATCTTCCCCCAGTGGTAACATCTTACCACTTATTATACTCTACTTAAATAGAACAGTGTAAAACTGTAGGCTTATTCCTCAGGAAGTATATGAGTGCATATTTGAGAACTTAATATCCATAATGTGGATATAGTTAAAAAGTGGTAGAGAGACAGGTTTCCATAAATTTATTAAATGAGGATTTCTTCAAATTCTAGCCTAATTCTCATTTTAGATATCAAGTATATTTTGCAGAGAGTTCTGAAAACTTTATTTGCTTTGACACATCTCATTAATCACTTAAAGTGAATGTCACTACAATTCCTAAGTCTTTATCATAGGTACTTGTATCACAAATGATAAGGCAAGCTTACAAAGAGGTTATCTACGATGTTTATTGCAGCATTGTTTATAAACATTGTTAGGGAAGACAACACAAATGCTTTATCAGTAGATGGTTGTTTAAATAAATGTATCATAATTAAATATTAAAAATGTGCACCATAACATCTTTCTATTTAAGGTCATAAGACAATGTGTCTATTGTATATGTACAGGGAAAAGGTTTCTAAACAGAGTATATACTATGATCTATTTTCCATTAAAAAATGTTTGAGTGTATAGAAGAAAGTCTCTAAATGTTTATTTGTAAAGAAAATGTTGCCTTTTGAAATAGAACATTGAATAATTTTTATGATTGCATTGGGGATTCCCACTATCATCCATTATGTTCAGTGATTCTCTAGTAGGGACTCACGGGACACAGAAAAGTGATCATACTCATGGTTACAGTTTGCATATTGAAAGTGAAAGGATGCATATTACAATTAGTAAAGAAAATAAGCACATAAGACAGAATCTAGGGGAAAAAAAGCACAAGTTTCCAGTTGTCTTCTGCACTATGTCGCAAGACACTTAATTCTCCCAGCAACAGTATGTGACAACAAAAGTTGCCAGTCAGAGAAGCTCCTAACTGGAAAGCTCAGGGAAAGCTCATTGAGACTTGGCATTAAGAGGTTAGTCATGTCTGTGTGCAATGCCAGCAGACTGGCCTCAGTTATGCAGCCCTCACATTCCTCACACTGATATGTGTGGCCAAAGCCTTAAACATTCAAAAACAGCCGGTCAGCAAAAATCATATTGTTAGCATGAAACTGTCTGTTGTGGCCCCAGACCTCAGGCTTATAAAGAACTTCTCGTTTGGTAGAATACTCCAAAGGTTCAGAGGTCTTCCAATAACTGGGCCAAGGTCAAATTTTGAAAGATCTTGGGAAATCCAGGTTTGAGCAGCCCAACTCTGCTGAGTTAACTTTTTACTGCACAATGCTTTTCTTATTTTTAATATTTTGTAATAACCACATATTGCTTTTCTCATCACAAACAATAATTTAACTCTTCCCTTCTGCAAAAAATGAAATGTATCAGAAATGTTTGTGTGCTGTCATTCTAGTATTGTTAGATGTCACCGAATTCAAACTTTCTGAGCTTGCAAAAGTGACATCTCAATGAACTATAGGTGAAATGTATCATTATGAAGTCAATTCTTTTTTTTTTTTTTTTTTTATAGAGGCATGTTTTTATTTATTTATTTATTATATTTGTTTGTTTTGTTTATACATGCACTGGGTACAGTCAGAAGCGCGGGAGGGTGAGAGAATTCACCAGAGCCAGAGCGGGGAGCAGAGCAGGCAGAAGGGCTGAAGTACACTGCTGAGGGGAGCAGCGGGTGGCAGGAGAGGTCTGCGCGCCATGTGGGACCCTCCTCCGGTGGCCGGGGAGCAGCCGGGGATCGAACCGGCGCCGCAGAGGCCGCGGGCAGCTTCGCAACCCAGCGCTCAACTGCTGCGCCACCGGGGAGGCCCTGAAGTCAATTCTTGCCAGAAATTCTCTGAACTTTGTAAATAGTCTCATGAATTCATACCAGAGAAGGCCAGGAGCCAACTCTAACTTCATTTTGAAGAAGAAAATCTCAGTCCATAGTGCCAAAAAGCCAGAAGCAGCTAGATAAGAAAGTGACTGAAAGAAGTACTTGTCCGTCCCCCCCTCCCCGCCCCAGCTGAGGTTCAATTAATTTAAAAACACTTAGTTCTGGTGACTGTTGTGAGTTAAGGATTGAGGATTCCAGAGGCCATACCTGCTTAGAGACTGTCTGCTCTGTTGTTCATTTTCAGATAATTCCCATCACAGACTCAGAGATCCGCCATAGGGGGAAATATTGGGCTGTTGGAACAGTTATGATGCATTTTTGCTTAGAAAACATAGAAAAAATGCATCATCACTTTTACGACAACCCAATACTTTTTTACCCACTTTAATCATTGCTGTGTTGTCTTTCCCTGACTGGTGAAGAATAAAAATAAGGACAGCCTCCTATATGCCAAATCCTGTGCCAAATGCTTGTACTTGATATTCACAACAATTTTGAGGATATGTGTTATCATCCCCACTTTAGAGATCAGGAAACTGAGGGTTAGTGTGAGTCTTGGTGCAGAGACAAGGAAGAAGCCTCTTCCTTGTGATATTCAACTGAAGTAATACCAGAAAAGCCACACATAGCAAGAGTCTCACAATCTAGCAGGAGTGACTGGCATTTGTAAGCTATCTGGGATGTGCAACTGTCACATGTTTCAACATTATGGAAAATAGAAAATGTTAACCTTTTAGGAGAAACTCTTTCCCCTCAAATAAAGAAAATGGCATAACCTAAAGAAAATTCTTTTAAAGAGAGAAAATGGGTAAGAAATATCCAGCGCAAAGTTGACAATGCTTCCCTAACATTTTGAATTTAGATCTGATTATGAGTTAAGTTTCAAGGGGTGACAAATTCTGAACAAGTAGATTGAAACTAAATAAACAGTTGCACTATTCTACTCAGCAGTTAATTATAGCAGGAACCCTTCTTCCTGGGAACTATTGTTATAATATAACTAGTGGGTTTGAAGCAGATACTTTTTTACTTAAAAAAAAAAAAAAAAGCATACCAGAGTAAAGAGCTTTGTTGGAGTTGTCATATTTGAATTGGAAAAGAGTTATGGTAGAAAATGGGTTTTTTTTGGCAGCTGAATGACACTGTCAGTCAAGACTGTGAGTCAAGAGCCCCAAATATTATTCAAACAGGAGAGAATGAACCTTGTAGAATGTTCAGGTGTAGAGAGGCCCTTGGCGTCTTGGAAATGTTCTGCGTTGCTTAATGCCGAATGCTAATTGATGGATCTCTGCTGATTGCTGTTAGTTTTAAAACTGCATTCAGATTAGACTTTCTCTGCCTCAGAAATGTGGCAATTAAAAAGTGCTTTAATAGAACTGAGAATGGGCCCAGGAGCAGCCTGGATGGCTCTGTGAGCACATCCAAAATAACGACAGATGTGGGACTGTTGAATGTGCTCTAGGTGGGTAAATTGCTCCGTGCATCAGATTTTTAAACATAGGCGCAGAGCACTGCCTGTGAAAGTCTGAAAGCACAGAGCCTCCTCCACTCCATGCCTATACTACCCCCCAGCCTGGCCTTGTCTCTTCCTGTTGCCTTTCTTGGAGCTTCCTTCCATTGCCATCTGGACCTGGGCTTTAATTATAGTGGCTGGAACTTTCTGTAGCTACCATTCCTGCAAAGAGCTTCACCAAATCCAGTTGTTTCTAGAACTTCTGGAAGAAGGAGTAAACCCCAAGTGGGTAGTGGCTGGATATTTTGGTGGTACCACCCTTCTCTGCTATCCTTTATGGTGGCATCAGCTGGGGTTTCTTGTACTCTGGCTTCTTGTGATATGGGTCAGTGGGAGGCAGCAGCAGCAGAGCTGAGGATGAGAAGCTGTGCTTCCCATCAAACATCCTTCCTCCTGGGGCTGTGGCTTTCACTGGGTTCCAGTAAGCACTCCCTTCTTTGCCCTTTCAGGCTGAGAGATTTAATAACTTCTGTTTCCTTTGCTGCTTCTCCATCCTTCTCAGTCCCCTTAACCCTACTCATCCCTTAATAAATAGTCCCTTCTTTACATTTCTTCAGTGAGCCTTTTGAGAAGCCATTTGTTAGCTCTTGGAACCCTAACTGACACTTGCAGCAACATCGGTCCTTTCTGCAGAAGTGATTAAGGTAGATTAAGGTTCGGGAGAGCCACTGGTGACCTGTGCAGGCAGGCAGCTATCCTTTCTCCTGCTCAGGCTCCAGTGAACTCCTCATCCCCTAGATCCTATATTGCAGGTTAAATAGGTTGTCAGGCCATGACTTAAAAAGGTGAAAAAGAAACAGTGGGGCAAAAAGGCTCTTGCTACTACTGTCCTCTTTCTTTCCTTTGGTAGGTTTTTTAGCTGTAAGAGGGGCTCATCAGACCTTGGTTTTCTCTGCCTCCTTTTAAGTCCTTATCTCTGTTCAACTTTATAACCATCAGAATTGATCTACTGAAATTGCTTTTTTAGAGTCATCCAGTTGTAGGACACAAATCCAGGTAAGTTTCCTTAAAACTGGTCTGTACTCTCCTCTCTGCTCTGAAAGACATATCCAGAATCCCTAATTCCTGAATTACTATCTGTATGTGTGTGTGTACATGAGTTTGTGCATGCATATAAATTATGTTTTTGTATTGTCTAGTGATTCATGGTCTTGCCACTCCATTTTTACTTACGTTGGGGTATAATATGTCCCAGAATGATCCTTCTATATAGTAGAACCATATTAAATATTAGTGGACTTCTGTGTTAGATGGAATAATGACCCCTCCACCCAAAGATGTACCTGTTCCAATTCCAAGGAACTGTGAGTGTGTTACATTATATAGCAAAGGGGAATTAAGAATTGAAGTTACTCATTAAATGACCTTAACAATCAGGAGATTATTATAAATTTATCTTAGTGGGCCTAATAAAATCACAAGGGTGTTTAAAAGAGAGTGGCAGAAGAGACTGTCAAAGTGATGTGATATAAGATGGATTTGCCTGCTACTGCTGTCTTTGAAGATGGAAAAAGGGGCCAAAGCCAAGAAATGTGGGTGGCCCCTGGAAGCTAGAATGGGCAAGAAAAAAGATTTCCTTGAGCCTCCATGAAGGAACAACTTTGCTGACACCTTGACTCTGACCCAGTAAGAATTGTACTAGATTTGTAACCCACAGAACTGTAAGGCAATTTAACAAAATGTATTGCTTAAAGTCACTGAATATGTGATAATTTGTAATATGAGCAAGAGAAAAATAGTACAAATTCCAGACAAAACTATACACAGGACAGGAACTAGCATTATAGCAACGACCTTGCTGAGTCAGTAGTGGGCTAGTCAAGGTGGGCTGTAGCTTGTACAGCAAGGGACTTGATATATGAAAGAATTATGGCCAGAAGATCATCAGCTAGACAGGTTGAGGGTCCTTAGACTCTCACAGGGAAGAATAGAAATAATATATATCTGAAGGCATTGGAGAACTGCCATGAGAGTGAGAAATTTCAGGCCAACATCTGGAGAGGAGAGAATCCCAGAGGGGTGAGCCTGGGTCAGAGTAAACTAAAGATGTTTGCTGATTCTGAAAGTGAGCTGACAGACTAAGAATCTAGAATTCAGTAGATTCACTGACTTGAGGGAATACAAATTGGAGTTCAGCTTTAGCTAGGGAGAAATACTGCTAAATTCCAAGGCTTTGGTTTGACTCTGTCCAAGGAGTAAGAGTAAGCCAGAAATAGATCATAAGTGTGTGAACGAAAGTTATTTCAAATTTTTTCATCTCCTTTTGGATTAAGATAGTCTAGGATTGAGATTGCCTCTAGCTGCTTACCAGAAACAAAAGTAAATCCTTTCTGGAAGAAGATTATCCCTCATGGGCCTCCCCGGTGGCGCAGCGGTTGAGCGCTGGGTTGCGAAGCTGCCCTCAGCCTCTGCAGTGCCGGTTCGATCCCCGGCTGCTCCCCGGCCACCGGAGGAGGGTCCCACATGGCGCGCAGACCTCTCCTGCCGCCCGCTGCTCCCCTCAGCAGTGTACTTCGGTTCTTCTGCCTGCTCTGCTCCCTGTTCTGGCTCTGGTGAATTCTCTCACCCTCCCGCGCTTCTGACTGTACCCAGTGCATGTGTAAACAGAACAAACAAACAAATAAATAAATAAATAAACATGCCTCTATTAAAAAAAAAAAAAAAAAAAAAAGATTATCCCTCAAATTATCTGTATAATTTTTTATATACTATGTCTAGTACTTTAAAGTACAGGATACAAGGGACCAGGTCCATATGCCCCAAATAAAAGAAACAGTAGAAAACAGAAACAGGCCCTTAAGAGGCTCATATCACTGAGATATCAGATATGGCTTTAAAATAACTATGCCTAGTAAGTTCAAGGATTTGGAAGATGATATTGAAAATTCTGGGTAGAAAATTCTGAGGAAAATGGCCATTGCATAAATTTGAATCCCTCCACATAGCATCCAAATGTATGCAGATCATTGACAAGAACAAATAAAACAACATACAGGAGATGTCTGTAGGATAACTAGAAGAGATGACAAATCTCAAATAACTTGTTAAAAGAAAAATAAACATGAAATGCCAGTAGCACAATCTCTCAAACCTTTACTGCAACCACTTGTGGAATGGGAGGAGGGATTTGGAAAAACTGTGGAAGAACATGAGTGAAAAGTTATACTGCAGTCATCCCCAGGAAGAGAAATTCCATACTAATTACAAAATAATGAAACTAATTACAAAAATAGTGAAAATGAGTTTTTCTAAATCAGAGTACTGACAATAGGGAATGGATTTAAAAGTGGAATTTGAAGTGGCAATCTTGGAAAGTCTTCAAGAGAGGAAGATGGCACAAGTATGCCTTTGTGAACTGAATGATGAGGGGAGACATAAGCATGAATCCTGCAAGACAAGAGAAAAAAAGCCCAAAACTCAAAGGAAAACAGCCTGACGCAAAAAAAGCAACCCATTAAAGAAATTGACTTCATTACACAGGCAGAGGAGGGCGCTCTTGCTATAGGACTCTTGAGACAACCCCCCCCCCACTATGAATGAAGTCTTTTATATAAAACTTTTACTAGAAGAATACAGAAAATGATTGAAAGCATTTCAACTTATAAAGCTCCCTTCCAAACCAACTGCAAGCAAAATAAATTGAAACAGCACTTCAAACTAAACTAATATCTTCAAGCATACTTTTAAACAAAAATACATCTAATGATTAAATTTTGTGATTTAAAGAAAATTACAAAAGAACAAAATGAAGTAGGTAAAATTCAATCTTATAGAAGGCAGGAAAGAAAAAATACTAAGGATATTCTTCTGTAAGCAAATAAAAGAAAGTGAATTTTAGGGGATAAAGTTAAACCTTTAAGTAATCACAATAAATACAAATGGGCTATATTTTATTACAATTTAGAATGGTTACAAAAAAATAAAACACCTCTATGCTATATATGAGGCCCTCTGAAACAAAATGATATTTTTTTAAAAATGTGCCAGGAAAATGTTAATAAAAATAAATGCAAGGATATTAATACCAAGCAAAATAGAATTTAAGGCAAAATGCATGTTGGGGATAAAGATTTTATTTCATATTGATAGAAGTTATATTCCAGAAATAAAATATGTTCTATAATATTGTATGTCCAGAACTACAAATTGTATGTATAAAAATACAATTTTTTTTAAAAAACCTGCTATCAGGAAAATACAAATCAAAACCACAGTGGAAATCACTTCACATTCAAAAGGATAGCTGTAATCAGAGACACTATTGTGATATAGTGAAATTAGGAGCCCCCCACACTGTTTGGTGAGGAAGTAAAATGTTGCTTTGGAAACAGTCTGACAGCTCCTCAAAAGTGAAACATAGGGTGACCATATGATCAAGCAATTAGACCTCTGGGTATATCCAAAAGAAATGAAAATCTATGTCTGCACAAAAATCATACATGAATGCTCATAGCAGCATTCATAATAGCAAAAAAAGTAGAAATAGCCCCAAATGTCCATTAACAAATGAAAGGATAAGCAAAAGGTGGTGTATCCATATGATTGAGTATTATTTGGCAATCAAGAAGAATGAAATATTGATCCATTTTACAACATGAATGGACCTTGAAGATGTTATACTAAATGGAGTAAGCCAGTCACCAATGTTTATAGATTATATGATTACATTTATATGAAATATCCAGAATAGGCAGATTGATAGAGACAGAATGTCAATTGGTGGTTGCCTAGGGCTGAAGAAGTTCAGGGGAAATGGAGAGTTACTACTAGTAGATGTGGGGTTTAGGATGATGAAAATATTCAAAATTGGTTGTGGTCATGGTTGAACAACTGAATACACTAAAAACCATTGACATGTACACTTTAAATGAGTGAGTTGTATAGTATGTACATTAGATTTTAATAAAGCTGTTAAAATATAAAAAGAAACTGATGTGTAAAAATACAGATTAAACTAGTCATAGAGCAAGTGTTCGATCATGTGTGCACAGTAAATTATTCTCTAGACCATTAAAAACATCATGTCTTTACCAGTGCTGTGGTGGGATATGGCCTCTGCAGCTTTAATATAGCTCCCACTGGTGCATTGCAGAGGCCTTGGTTGTAGTCCCAGATGCTGATACCAATTAGTCTGGGCTCTAGGGAGAATCAATACCTCTTAGGGCATCCGTTTCTTCACTTGTAAAATACAAAGGAAAAAGACTGTGATCACTAAGAACCTTCTGTTCTCCCCCAGGAGAACCTGGAATTTTCCTTGAGGTGCTATTCCTGGTGAGCTCTGTGACATGGGCACAAGTCTTGGGATCCTGCAGCCAGCACTGTGTAAAGAGAAAAGACAGAACCCGTATTTATTTCCCTCTATGGAGGCCAGTGCCAATCTGAACCTATGTTCGTTTTTGTTTTTAAAGACTATGTTTTGTCTTTTGTTTAAGATTTTGTCTTCGTATTCAAGAAATTTGCCTCTCTTGAATATTTTTTTAATTGCTTTTTCCTGTCCAAGGGCCCTGTATACTCTTTCAAAAAACATTTAAGCAACTGATCATAGGTAGATAAAACAAAAAGGGGACTTTTACTCTGGATTTAATTTTGACCAGGTAAAAATAGGGTGGACAGGTGGAAAATTGAGGTGTGGGGGTTGGAGAATGAACAGAATCCAACCTGGATTTGAATCTTTTTTATTTTTAAAGATTTATTTATTTTATGCGTACAAGAATGAGGGTAGAGGCCAGAGGTGCGGAGAGTGAGAGGATTCACCAGAGACAGAGTAGGGAACAGAACAGGCAGACTGATTGAAATGCACTGCTGAGGGGAGCAGCGGGTAAGACAGGAGAGGTCTGCTGCGCTGTATGGGTAGCTCCCTGACCGGCCGGGATTTGAACTCGCGCTGCAGAGGCTGCAGATAGCTTTACAGTGCTGTGCTTAACCACTTGCGCCACCAGGGAGTCCCCCTGGATTTGAATCTTGATTCACGTAATTACCAGATATATGATCTTGGGCCTGATAAATGATCTCTTTGAGCCTCAGTTTTCTTATCTGTAAAATTAAGAAAATATGCTTTACTTTATGGAGTTGTTAGAGGTGATAACAGTATCTGCTACCATTTCCAACTATTAAATGCTGGAACCTATTTACAACAACTAGTTACTGCTCCAACACTGGTACTGAGGGATTCCTTATATAGCATGTTTTTGTAAATATCTGTGAAATTGCTAGAAATTTCATCCTGATATTGAGGTGAAATATTCATCCGTTTAACTTCCATGTGTTGTTCTGCTTTTATTTTTATTGTTTGAATCATTGTCTTTGGATCCACATCATATCCCATCCCTAGCACAGTATTTTCTTGACTGAGCATTCCCCATTGTCTTGTTTTTCCTTATAGGGTAAAGTTTCCAGATTCCCCACCATCCTGGATGTCAACTTGGTGACTGCCACTGTGATTTGAGGCTGAGACCAATGGTCTAAACATGGTCTGATTAACCCAAAAAACATTGAGGCTGTTTCTTCTCTTGTTACTTCTAATGGAGCCTGGAGTGTCATTAGCTTGTTCAGCAGCCTAGTCACACTCTTAGTTCCTGTGGATTTGCATTCAGCTGAAACCTGCAGAATTTTTCAAATGGATTTTTCTTAGGTCTTTGGTTTTCTTCATCCTACAGTTGTATATACATTTTTAAACTGTGTGTGTTTAGACATACAGTTCACATATATATGCTCTGACTTTTTTCTCCATTCTCAGAGGAGGAAACAGAGAAGTTAAATAGCTTTGAAAATAGGTATTTCTAAACTTATATGCATGTTAATTAATATGAAGAGTTTCAGAAAGTATTAAATATAATATGCAAACAATGTTAGAGGCAAAGATATAGTTCCCTCTAGCACTCTGGGTTCTTCTCATGCTGGTTGAAGCAATCAAATCAACATCAGATGGATTAGTAGTCAAAAAGGACACACTTAATTATATAAGTATGGAGAATCTGCATGGGTATAGATTCTCAAGTAAATGGGGCAAAAAGTGAGGCTATGTATCCTGAGCTGTATATCCTGGAGGAGGGGCCTAGGACTTTACGAAGAGGAGAAGGGAACTCGAATGATGATGAGAGGATAAGGATCAGAGACTCTGTAATTATGTTTGTCCTACCATATAGATAGGTTTTATCTAATAGAAAAGTTATTTCTAGAGACAACCCTAAATCTGGATAATACCCCACATTTCATTCTTTTAGGTAGTTAAGGGAGTGGTAAAAAATATTTAAGAGTATTGCTCTCGACTCATAGTAGCCCACATGCTAAATGACATGTCTTGATGAGACCTGTTCTGGATAACTTAAGGAGACCTTTCTTTCCGATATCTAAAAATTACTGAAAACTTGCTATGAGTGATTGCTGGATTTTACCCCATTTTCAGATGGGGAACAGAGGTTTAATAACTTGTGAAATTTCTGCAGCACCTAAGTGTCAGAGCCAGGGCCAGAGCTCTACTTTAAACTGCCTCTGTACTGCCTCCCAACAAGGCCCCAAACACAGGTGATGCCCCCACCTCCAGCAGAGCTGGGTAGGTCACTGAACCATGGGGCTTAATTTGGACACAGTCTCTCTGGGGCCACTGGTCTTTACCTGCACAGTGACTGGTGGTATTAGATCCTATGTTTCAGCCCTAAGATTCTGCATAAATCCACCAAGATTTTAATCAAAGTGTGGAAGGGAAGTTAAACTTTTGATTTTCTTTCTCAGGGAATCTACTAGCATTTAAGCCTAGAGATGCAGAATCTCACATTTGTCCTCATTGAATTTCATCTTATCAGATTTGTTGGGGTGAAAAGAACTTGTGGAGTTAATATCTCTACTAGGGCAGCCACATCTGCAAGCTGATACTCAGATCCTTTTAACCTTTATCCCAGGAACCAGACACCTGCAGCAGCCCACACTGGCCTGCAGCATCCTTGTGGGGTCACTAGAAATGCTTCTAAGACATGGGACAGCTTTGTACTCTGCTGTCTCCAGACCTGTTTCAAGATGGGCCCCCAAAATGTTCTTTCCTAGAATAACCAGCTATGGTGCAAACCCAGATGAACTGTGACCAAGTGGTTAGAGTGTAACCCTGAGCAAGTCCCTTAAAGGCTGAGTCTGGCCAATGGGGTCAGCTGAGCCGTCCAGCAGGGCATCACACAGAGAGCATTCCCTCACATCCACATTGCTGTCCTATCTCTTGCAAGCTCCATTCCAGCAGCTCTCTTGACCGCTTTTCCTTATTCAATAAACTTCTCACTTTGGTAAGATCAAAAGCTTCCCTTTTGGTAAGAAGAAATTCCTGGGTCTTTTTTTCCTGGATCTTTTATTCCTGGCCTTCTTTCCTCTCAATCTCAAACCTAAGGAAGAACTGTAACGGGGCAGGAAGAGGGGCACCCCAAAACCCCCAAACCTGCCTGCTTTAAATAGGTTCTGCCATCCACTGCATCAAGAAAAAACATGTAAGACCTTTAATGGAAAGGAACTTTAATACAATTAGTGAACAATACAGGAAAGGCAAAGAATATAATTTCTAAATCAGGCACCCAAAGTTACCCATCACTTCGTGGATAAAAGTCCACCTAAATGGGATTAGCCCAGAGCAAGGCCCGAAAGCCTGCCTCAAGTCTAAAGCATTTCCCTGCAGGGCCCCATAGAAAAGGGTCAGAAATAGCCAGACAAGTCTGGGAGGAAAAGAGCAAAATCAAATTCAAGTTAAAAGCTGCCATTATTAACTTCCCCATGGGTCTCTCACCCACATCTGTTTTACCCAGTCCAGGACCAAGAAGCAAGTATAGCTTCTTCACATGTCTCTCTCTTCTCCACGTGCCTCCTCCAGGTCTCCTCATTGCACTCCATTCTGCTTTCTTCCTTCTCCAGTTTTTTCTCCAGCTTCTTCTCCTCCCTGCTCTGTTCTACCCTCCTTTTAGTGGGACAGGGAACCTGGAATGTCCCTTTTCCCTGGGCATCGCTGTGTTATAGAACCATGTTTTTTCTCAGTCAACACACATCCCAGTCTGCATGAAAAAGAAGAATTCCTTTCATCCCCAGGATATATTTTTAATGGGTCACACCCTTTCTCTGGACTGCAAACATATACCAAGCTGGTGCACCTTTGGATTGGGAGAAAAAGTAGTATGATTTTGGAAAAACTTGAGGAAAAATTTCTGTGTTGCTGGAGATTTTTCTTTCTCACTGGCAGCAGATAAGATGAATAGAACAATTGTCTTTTATTAAGAGGCTATAGAGTGGGCCTCCTGGTGGTGCAGTGGGTTGAGGACATCACTGTGAAGCTGTCCGCAGCCTCTGCAGCGCAGATTCGAATTCTGGCCGGCCAGGGAGATACCCACATGGCACAGCAGACCTCTCCTGGCTCTCCCGCTGCTACCCTCAGCAGTATCTTTGGTCTGTCTGCCCGTTCTGCTCCCCACTCTGTCTCTGGTGATTCTTCTCACCCTCCCACGCCTCTGGCCTGTACCCCAGTTCTTGTATAAATCAATCAATCAATTAATCTTAAAAAAAAGAAATATTTCTATAAAAAGAAAAAGAGGCTATATAGTGATTGATGTGTTCCCTTTGTTGACACACAGTGTCTCTGCATCAAGGAAAAAAGTATGTGCAATTCTGCCAGTTTCCAGTTCACTTTCTTTCTTTGTTAGAAATTTTCCTTGCTTGTTGAAAAACACTTGTAGTCAAGACAGGGAGGGAAACATCTTTACTGTGTCCCATGAGGAAGAATGTTGTGATTAGATCTCACCTTTATTTTTTTTAAAGATTTATTTATGCATACAAGAACTGGGGCACAGGCCAGAGATGCAGGGGGTGAGGGGATTCACCAGAGACAGAGTGGAGAACAGAACAGGCAGATTGACTGAAATACACTGCTGAGGGGAGCAGCGGGTGAGTCAAGAGAGGTCTGCTGCACCAAGTGGGTAGCTCCCTGGCCAGGGATCAAACTTGTGCTGCAGTGGCTGTGGGTAGCTTCATAGCTTGCATCTTAACCCCTTGCACCACCAGGGAGGCCCTAGATCTCACCTTTAACACAGAATTTCACCCCTGAAGCAGGAGAAATAAGTAAGGATCCCTTACCCCCTAGGAAATTGGCAGAGGTGCAGCCTTAGCAGTAACATTCTCTGTGTTTTTACTCCCAAATGTAAGTAAACAGAGATAGCTCAGGGGCATCTGGTCAAGTGCAGAACGTTCAGTTCAAAGATTGCAATCAGATAACGTGGATTTTATCAGACTTGCTTTTCACAGGCAGTAAGAAAAAGCTTGGTCTGCTGCCTGTCTCAGCATCTTGGCTTGCTCTCATATTTCAACTTAAAAAAAAAAATGAAGGCATGACCTGGCTCAGGCAGGGAATACACCCCCAGTCTTGTCAAGTTCTGAAATAAACACAGTTTTCATTATTTAACCAGAACCACCTAAACCAACTCTGAATCTTCTCAGTTTCTTTTTTTTTTTTTTTAATTAATTAATTTATTTATACAAGCACTGGGTACAGTCAGAAGTGCGGGAGGGTGAGAGAATCCACCAGAGCCAGAGCGGGGAGCAGAGCAGGCAGAAGGACCGAAGTACACTGCTGAGGGGAGCAGCGGGCTGCAGGAGAGGTCTGTGCGCCATGTGGGACCCTCCTCCGGTGGCCGGGGAGCAGCCGGGGATCGAACCGGCACTGCAGAGGCTGCGGGCAGCTTCGGAGCCCAGCGCTCAACCGCTGCGCCACCGGGGAGGCCCTGAATCTTCTCAGTTTCTGACTCTAAATGCAAAGTTCTTTCCACTTGGCTTTAAGGGCCAGGTGAAGATCAGAGAGATGCCTCAGGCCAGGGTTTCCAGTTGGGTCTCCTCCGACTTCACATTTCCTCTCTAGGCTGGGAGCGCCCCTTCATGGACCCCAAGGAAGGAAGAATGGAGGTAAATGAGAAGAGATTTCTGCCAAATAGGATAATTTTGAGTACAATGTAAGCAACAGGGTGTCTCCACTTGCAGGAAAGAATAAAAAGGACTGGCAGTTCCTTTTGGCCCATCTTTGTCTCTGGACAGCTGTGGTCGCTACTGAGAGTTAATGTCATTTTTGGAGTCAGTGGGTTTAGAGTGCGGGGTCCTTGGGTTCACTCTGGGAAAGGTTTCACCAGAGCTCCTGTTTCGGGGGCACGCAGCAAGTTTCCCAGACGAGTTTCTCCGTAAGACAGAAACGTAGTTATCTTTGAAGAGCAGGTTTATTAGGGAAAGTAACAGAAGAGTAAAGGACACTTGCATAGACACCGGCAGGCAGAAAAAGCTGCCCCTAAAGGGACAGGTTTGTTAAGAGAGGCCCGCATGGCTGCAGGCAGGCGGCCTTGAGGAGAGCTGCCTCTGCTGAGGGAGGTCAGTGAGGAGAAGCCCCGGCCGGTACAGGTCATGGCAGGCAGGAAGCTGCTGCCCTGCAGAGGGAGAGTTGGCGAAAAGTAGCACCCGATAGGCACAGGTGGGCAGAGGGAGTGCGGCC